ACAAAGCCACACACAAGCACACACATGCAAACACAGACATGAGGGCCCTGTCTTAACAGCCCGATTGCAATGCTACATTATGTGCCCACTGACAATCAGAGCACACTCAGGCACACTTTTAATATGTGTTGTTAACGTAACTTCACAAATATGCATGCATGCATGTTCATGCATATTTGCAAAAGCATGATTTCATTGGAATTTGAATAGGATGCGCACGGTGATTAATCATTGTCTTTTCAGCTAGTTTCGTTATTTATGTAACAGCTCTGCCAATCACAGTAGCCTGTAATCAAAGTGTCACTCCAAATGTAGAAGAGAGACCAGACTGGCCTCTCCAAACATCGTGTTGTCGAGCAGGAGGTAGAGAGTGGTGATGTGCAAATGAACACTGCCACAAGTCATTTGCATGATTGTATATTGCTAATTTATGCTGACTTTTCGTACAACAACAAACAATGTAACCATCTTTGCCCACATGCTTCCATGCATCCTTAACAGTGGCATGGTTGTTAGCCAATACACTTCCACTAAACAGCACAGATGTGAGAGTTTCTGACATTTTTTATCTGTAGAAACCAGGGATTTAGAGAGAGCGATTTCTTTTTTATGGTTTTGTACTCAGTACATCCAGAATCTCACAACTACAGTATATCTGTGCTTTGTAACACTTGAATCAAGAAGTGTGGTTGCATGTCAGCCTGGTGTTAGTCCCACATCCCCAACCAGAGACAGATGTAACACATATCAGTCCTGGCACCTCAGATGTCAGATGAATTAATATGAAGGTCTTTATATAGTCTACACACAGTCATAGATAACAGATGCTGTGGATCATTCATTTATAATGATTCATTTTGCATGTTTTGCCTGTCTGTCAACAATTTGCATTTTTCTGTTCAAATATCTTTGAGGTGAGGACATTTTTATTAATTCCACAGTTTTACAGAAAATCCAACTCCTTGTGTCATTTGCAGTCAACTGTTGTTGTGTTATTGATGTCTCTCTCTTCAAACCTTTGCATCAGTCACAGTGTGCAGGGCGCACACATGTCAAATAAAAAGACAACTCAGATTTCAAGGTCAGTAAAATAACAGATTGTAGTGCTCCTTGCTCCAGACTTTGTGACGCCTCAAAAGTAGCACAGAGTCAAAGACGCACATACATGCACAGAATGTGAAAGGCTTTTTTATCTTAATGTGTCATTACCTGTGACACTACAATGAAGCCTCAAGAGGATGTATTTGCATAAAAAGCATGAATAAATATGAACTGGCTGACTTCACAAAATGAGAGATTTTCCATTTGAGAAAATCTGAACACCTAGGCTTCCAAAAATAATTGCTGTCATTGAAGTGAAATTCATCAATGAATGATAAATGAATCATATTGAGGTTCCACAGCCTGTAATTAACTTTTTTTGAGAAGGCTGTGAATGTTTAATAAAAATTAATACAAGAAGTGTCCGTTTCTGGAATTATGACATATTAGAAAATGTAATGATGTCTCAGTCTGTATTTGGATAGTCACGTGTATTATTGCAAGGTTTTTAAAACGCTGCTTCCTGAAGCCTCATCTCTCACTGACTCTCTCCTCTATTCAAACAATCACATTGGAACCAGTGAGTGGAAAATGATTTCCTTTTGCTTCTATTCAGAGCGTGCAAAGAAGCGCATTCTTTCTCTCTATGCTTCTGATTTCTAGAGACAGGATATGAGCTTTGTGACTTCTAAACTGAAGAGTTTTTGAAAGCCAAAAGCTTTCAGAAGGACTGTTCACTCTGTTAACCTCTGGCACATATCCCTGTCTTCTCACTACGGATTCTGAAAGAAACATATTATTTGGCAATATTTGGGCGAACCATTTTGTTCAGTAAAACTGGAGTTGTACATCAGTAATGTTGATTTATGACAACAGCACCTACTCTCCATCAATGCAACAGGGATTGTCAAAGCAGGCAATTGTCTGGGGGCCCCCAGGAATGGCTGATTAGGTTAGTCCACAGCAATGACAAGTTCTTGAGAGCCCCCTAAAATTCTACTATCGCCTAGGTACAGTAGACTGCAACAACACCATAGTCCGGAAGATGAAGAAGGTTGGCGGTTTGAACCCCGGCATCTGCATTTCCATTCCCACATCTTAACCCCAACATGCCCCTGACAGTGTTTGAATGGTGTGCAATTGAAAAAGTGCTGTGTATAGAAGTGCTGTATGTGTGTGTGATTGGGTAAATGCAACATGTACTGCAAAGCTCTTTGAGTTGTTGATAAGACTGCTATATAAGTACAGTCCAAATAACATTTAGAATTTACCATTGCCTGGGGTCCCCAAAGTCCCTTGAAACTCTTCTCTCGTACAATCTCTGTATGAATAAAAGACCAACTCCAGTGTATCTTCTCCTTTCTAAGGATTAAATATTGAATTGTACATTTGAACACATACAGGTAAATAATGTATGTTAATTACACATATGGAATGTGGAATTGAGACGAGCGTTGGGTAGCAGGCGTTGCACTATTCATTGGGGTAAGCTCTCAGGATCTTATCAGGATTAAGGCACAACAGCTAAGGTGCTGGAATTAAAGATTTCTTTGACGTTCTTTGGATGTGTCTTCCATCTGCAAGAGAATATTTGTGTCTATTTCTGAATTACAATTTAGAAACACACTTGATGCAAATATAAAAGAAATCTATCACGCTCCTTCATTTCCCTGCTCCTTCAGGTCTGTATAAGATCTAGTTTGGTTTCCACTTAAGAGCAAAATGTTGTCCGTCACAGTGCACACAAGCCAATAAAATAAAATTTGTTTCAAATTATGATTTTATGATCAGATTCAGTTTGCTCACTCCCCATATTTAATCTGATGAAAACTGCAGCAGCTGCTATAAGAAAACTGCACTTTACTATAGAGAATAGGATTACATGGCAAGTGTGTGTAGTGAATCAATAGTCCCCAAAAACTGAAAGGATGACGTTTTGTCAACTAATACATATATAGCATTTAGCAAGTGATTATAAGTGTAGTTGCAGATTTTGTTATTGTGTTTTCATGACACTAATGTTGTAACACTAGATATGGGTTGTAGTACTTCCAACCAGGATTCTTTGTTACTCTTATATGAACCTCTTCCATTTGCATTTCAATATTTGCCGAAACTAGAAATTCACCTTCACAACCAAATAGAATAATTACACAA